TCTGAGGTCCTGAGTGCTCTGGGTTAGGTTTTTTAAAATGATCTCATTAGGATGGTGTTCTGCAGAAGATGAGTGATGCCTGGTTTTCATAGACATGACTCTTAAGGCCAATTTACACTGCACAGACAAATGCCAACAAACACGTTTGTTGGGTTTTGTTGAATCAGTGTGTTACCCTGTCGGCATCACCAACGGCAAGTTGGTTGGAGTTTGTTTTCACCCGACTGAACATGTTCAGTCAGTATTTGTTGGTGTCTGTTGGGGCAGTGTGAACATGGCAGCTATTTTTCATAAAATTCCAAATGCAACGGCCAACTTGTTTGTTGCCGTCTGTCTGTGCGGTGTGAATGAGGTTCAATATAGCAGAGAATCTAGTTTCTCACAGACTTAAGAGTCTTTTGCAAATTCCAAACAGGACTCCATGGGTCTTCCACTGAGAAAAGGCTTCCAACTGGTGATAGCTGTCCATAAGCAAGTTTCTTCCTTGTCCACACTTGATTTCTGAAGCTCTGAGAGTGACCATCAGGTTCTTGCTCTCCTCTCTCACCAAGGTCCTTCTCCCTGATTGCTCAGTTCTAGGAAGAGTCTTGATTGTTTCAGACTTATTCCATTTAAGAATTATAGAGACTAATGTGCTTTTGGGATATTTCAATGCAGTCCCGTATCTGAGCCTGTATCTGAGCTTCATAGGGAGATGACTAAATACATGGTTTTTGCTCTGATACACATTCTTCTTCATGTGATGTTTTACTGTGCTTTTTAAACAAACAAAGAAGGTGCATTTCCGCTACCTATTGGACTGAAGTGTGCTCTTAATGATGGGTTTAGATGAAATATTTCTCTTTCATATGCAACATAGTTTAGGATTATATATTTGACTGTTTCTGGATGACCACATTTATCACAGTAAGCAGTCTCATGTTTCCCTATAATGTGCAGACTCTGATTTAATGTCAAAAGTCCAATGCACAGTCTGGAAATGATAGCATCATTTTTTTTCTGTATTCTCTCTGCACCAACATGAGTAAACTAAATAGTCAATTTGCTTGTTTTGTGGAAACATTACAAGCACCAATCTTGCACATTCCGTTGTGTTTTAGAGTTAAGAGAAATGTCTGTAAAATTAATGGATAATGTCCTGGCAGAAAATTACCAGTACATTGTCTGTTTGTTTAATGGAACTGGACAACAGAGTAACATGCAGACCAATACTTCCATAATTTAAGTATAGCACTAATATAAGTCAATATTTCCAGACATACAGTACAGTATCTCCCTCTTCTAAAGCCATTCGGTGGTAGAATTCCTTACTTTATGCTAATCTTTTGGTAATCATTCTTTCCATTATCTTTCTTATGTGTGATGTCAGTGTTATTTGGCCTAAACAGTAGTTCAATGGATCTGATGGGTCAGTCACAAATACTGTGTCGAATGAACACACACGAAGATGAAGGGTAATAGTCTTTAATAAAACCACATAAGGTAATCCAAACAAGGAGGCCTGGAAACACACATATACTGTACGTCGATGAGACTGGACACACTAAAACTGACCAGACAGGAACTTAAATAGGCAAATGAGGATAATTAATGAGACACAGGTAAACTAACTAACGTAATCAAAGGGGAGACAGAAACTAGGTCATAGAACAACACAAGCAGGCAAACAAACCCTGCATTCCATTTGGAAGAGCTCATCCCTTCAAAGGGTTTACCCTCCGGAGTGAGAGCTTTGAAGGGTTGAAGGGTTTAGGGGACCAAACAACTGTTTCTTGAAGTGTCCTTCTGTGCCATTATCCCGTGCCCCACAAGGAGGTGTTGTCATCATGGAAAGAATCAGCGCAAATGATCATGGGGGCCCGAAAGTGTCCATCAGTTGTACCCTTCGAAATCCTTCATTCCGAAGGGCCCTTTGAAGTGGCCAGTTTTGAGCACTTCGGTTTGGAATGACCCTTCAATATGGTGGCCATGATTGTTTTCACTCCGAAGTGCCCTTCGGAGGGCGATATATCCCGTTTGGAATGCACGATAGTCCAAACAGGGTGATGGTGTGACAGGACCCTTCCCTGATTTCCTGGTTCACTGCCTCTTTCTATCTAGTTAGTAACTTTCCTTCTTTTTACACTTTATTATAAAAACCTAGAAGCTTCATAGATACTAGAACACCTATGTTTTATATAACATGTATCAGATTTCATTTTTCGCATGAGATGTTGCCCTCTTCATTTCTTCCAAAGGTAATGGAGCTTTCAATGTGATGTTCATCTCATCCATTCTCTCGAGGGTAAACTGATCTTGTTAATCCCCTTTCCTTTTTTCCCCTATTCACTCTCGTTAGCAGAAGCATGAATTTCAGTACCTTCACTATCATTTCTGCTTTCTCTTCGTCAGACACTGCTGCATTCTCCTGTATCACCAGTATGGGATATTTCCATTTTCTCCTGATTCCTCTCATGCTCCTAATCATGCCCCATACATCTCCCACAGATTTTGATCTACCAATTCAATACAAAATGTTTGCCAGCTTTGCCTTTACTTTTGCTTGAACTTGCTAATGTAATCTGTTCCCGTGCTTTAAAACGACTGACATAGTGCTTTATATTTTTAAGTCTATTCTGGACGCTTAGTTTGTATTCTGTTCTGCATTTACATTTCTTGTTCCTGTTGTATTATGGTTTCAGTGTCAATTCATTGTCATCACCTATGTTCTATTAGTTATTAACTGGGTATTTAAAGGACAACGTGACTGATTTTCAACCAGATTTGTGTTGTTATAACACTAGTAGTATATGTAAATGACCAGTGCATACTCTTTCTCCATGTTACCTGCACCCATATATCCCTGTTTATTTGTCGGCAAAGTCAGTTGGATGATCTGTTTTGCATCCTATACATACATTTACATACACAAAACTATGTCTCCTACAACTCCTTACTTCAACAACTGTATCATATATTTAATTACATTTTGAAAGTTCTTTTTCATATCATATTTTTTTGTAAGTCATGGCCAATGTCATTTCCAGTCAAAACACATTTCATACTGCAAGTCTCTGGGTTGCAAACAGCCTATAAATATTTAGCTTGCTAAATATTTCTTTGGCATCGACGCTTCTCTCTTTGGTAATTCACACTATGTGATCGTCACTCATGTGAACGAGCACCGATTAGCCCCAGATTTCGAGCTTTGGTCTGCAATCTGCAAAACAATGTTGGCAAATGAAAATCAGGCCTAAAATCGTGTAGTGTATACCTGATATTAGGGCTTATCACAGAAGAACTATCGGCACAGCCATCTGGCACAGCTGAGACACACTGAGAGTGTGCAACCCTGCTGGGACACACATACTCTTGTTTTATCCATGTCTTAGAAATATATTTAAACAATCAATTGCAACTGCAGTGATGGTTATGTTTAGGGGTGGACCAACAGTCTTGCTTTTTTTCCCCCCTAAAAATCATTCAAAATCACCAGGTTGGTTTGTTTATTCTTGTTCCTAGCATAATGTTCTGTATGCAATAAAATCCCACATATTAGCATCCTGTTTCCAACCATGCCTTAAATTTTTATTAACCTACTCATATCTAATTGCATGCCTTTCTTCCAGGATCATCTGTCAGACTTCTGTGATTGTTTGCTACAGTTGTTGTGATTGTTTGCTTAACCATGTAATGCACCAACTAACAACAACGGTTGCTCAACTATCTAATTCAATGTGGGAGATGCATTCAAAGTTTTGTGCTCAAAAAGCGACCAGTGCATCTGGGACACAGAACAAACTGGTCCGGCCCCTGCCTCTTGCACCTTTTGATTCTTACCCCCACAATGCACTGTGTCATTTAAAATATGGATAAAACACCTGTGAAATTCAGTACAATTCAATACAAATACATATTCCTTCATATTTAGAAGTTCATTTGTGTTAAGCATGTAAGAAGTTAATCATGTAATTTGTAATCTACCCAAGCACTGGAAATAAGTTTGGTTTTAGCTAGTTATTTGATGCTATAAAATGGTGTGTGGCGTCATTATTGCGCACTAGTGATTGAGTCTGGGTTGGACATATTGTGACTCCACCTCACGATTTCTACTGTTAGATGCTATATATGCTAAAATCAGTACTATGCCAAAAGAGTAGTATGTCCAAAGAATAATATTCTCCCATGAGGCCACAGGAGAGAATTTTTAAATGGCAGTGCAGCAATGCAACTGACGCAGGTAGGTCAGGTGACAGTAACAGCATGGCGGATGTTGTATGTCAGAATTTCATTCATACTACCCAATGGGTACCCATATTCATACTATATAGAACAGGGATCTCCATCCCTGCTCCTTGAGAGCTACCGTCCTGCAGACTTCAGTTCCAACCCTTGCTCCAACACACCTGTCTGTAATTATCAAGTAGCCCTGAACACCTTGATTAGCTGGTTCAGGTGTGTTTGATTGGGGTGGGAGCTGAAATCTGCTGGACCGTATAGCTCTCCAGCAGGGTTGGAGACCCCTGACATAGAACATAATTACACACATACTTTTTAACAGTTGTGAAGTAGGTTCAAATTCAAGTACTGCATTTTCATTTGGCCAAATTTTTCTACAGTGGAAGGAAATAGAGATGCGTCGTCCATCTTTTATATATAATAAAAATAAATATATTTTTCTATATGTAGTTCAGAATGAAAATGATCAGAAGAAGCCATGGTTTACAGGAATTTTAGAACCACTAAGGGATGTTTTTAAAAAAAGTTGCTAGGCTATATACCTGGATTTCTTTCTTTCTTTCTTTCTTTCTGTCTGTCTGTCTTTTCTTTTTTTTTTTCTTTTTCTGTTAGGCTGTTTTGTCCTGGCAAGGTTTCATTAAATAAACACAACAGGTCACGTGGCTCAGCCAATCATAATCAAAGACCGGAATTAGTTTTTATAAGTAGAATTTTACATTTGGTACCGTCAACAGAATGTTATGAATGGATAAACACACAAATTCCAAAAACGTATATTGTTATTTATTTCTCCACGGCAGCATGACAGAGCCAGTTTATATTAACGCCAGTGTGAGAGCAAGCATGTGAAGCGATCAGCCGGTTCTTCCGTTTCAGAGGACTTCCGTGTTTACATGTCTGCAGCAGGCACTGATCCCTCATGGCTTTCATTACGAAGAAGGATCGCAGCAAAGAACGGTATTGTGCTTTCATATTTTAACTGACACTTTGTTTATACCGGCATCATAGACGGATCAGGAGGGTGTTCTCTCTCAGATCCGTACCGTAGGACTCTGACTTCAGGCCTTTTGTGTCACTTTAGCTCGCTGGATCCTCCTCCTCATAGGCCAGTAAACACATCAAAGACATGTATCAGTGTTGTTACGCGTAGTGTTTATGTTAGAGTATTCATGCATATTTAAGCTTTTCTTGTTAATACTTTTATTTTTAACTTAATTAACATTTTCCTAGCATCGGATGAATTGTATAGGGAGAGAGAGCGGTGGGCACAACACCGGTCCCTTGTTTGTTTCAAGCATGTGAATAATCCCCTTATTGCAGTAATGTTAAGACTCACAATCTCATTGTGATCGCAATACGTTTATGTTTTGACCTAATTTAGAAATGAACTCTCATTTTTTGCAGTTTACAAAAATTCTGATTGCACTCACATGATATGAGGACTGTTGATGTCACATGACCAGCTGTGTCATACAGACTTATATTTATTAATTTGTTTAGTTCCTTCAGGCAGTGCCCAGGGCACTTTACTTAAAGTATCTGTGAAATTAAAATGGACGATTTTTATTTATTTATAGAATGTTGCAGTGTTTATTATAAATTATTTATCTCTTGCATCATTATTTAAAAAAAAAGTGCCCTAGTAATCTTTAGTTAAAAACATTAAAGGGTTAGTTCACCCAAAAATGAAAATTCTGTAATTAATTCCTCACCCTCGTGTTGTTCCAAACCCGTAAGACCTTCGTTCATCTTCGGAACACAATTTAAGATATTTTGATTAAATCTGAGGGCTCTCTGACCCTCCCATAGTGCCCTAGTAATCTAAGGTTAAAAACATTAAAGGGTTAGTTCACCCAAAAATGAAAATTCTGTAATTAATTCCTCACCCTCGTGTTGTTCCAAACCCGTAAGACCTTCGTTCATCTTCGGAACACAATTTAAGATATTTTGATTAAATCTGAGGGCTCTCTGACCCTCCCATAGACAGCAAGGTAACTACCACATTCAAGGTCCAGAAAAGTACCAAGATGATCGACAAAGTAGTCCGTGTGACATCAGTGGTTCAACTGTAAAGTTACGAAGCTACGAGAATATTTTTTTGCGCAAAGAAAACAAAAATAACGACTTTATTCCACATTTTCGTCTCTACTGCGTCACTTTGGACGCGCGTTCACGACATTACCATGACACGTGCATGTGGCGGCATCCACAAGTGTCCCAGTAGAAACGAAAATGTGTAATAAAGTCGTTATTTTTGTTTTCTTTGCGCAAAAAAAGTATTCTTGCGGGTCAGAGAGCCCTCATATTTCATAAAAAATATCTTAAATTGTGTTCCGAAGATGAACGAAGGTCTTACGGGTTTCGAACAACACGAGGGTGACTAATTAATGACAGCCCTGTTGAAAAAACCAGCATATGCTGGTTAGGTGTGTTTTGATGCTGGTTTAAGCTGGTCCTTTGCTGGTTTATGCTGGTCCTTTGCTGGTGTAAGCTGGTCCTTTGCTGGTTTATGGAGCATAAACCAGCAAAAGGACCAGCATAAACCAGCAAAGGACCAGCATAAACCAGCAAAGGACCAACTTAAACCAGCAAAGGACCAGTTTAAACCAGCAAAGGACCAGCATAAACCAGCAAAGGACCAGCTTAGACCAGCATCAAAACACACCTAACCAGCATATGCTGGTTTTTTCAACAGGGCTGTCATTAATTAGTCACCCTCGTGTTGTTCGAAACCCGTAAGACCTTCGTTCATCTTCGGAACACAATTTAAGATATTTTTTATGAAATATGAGGGCTCTCAGCGTCAAAACATACCTAACCAGCATATGCTGGTTTTTTCAACAGGGAGAATTTTCATTCTTGGGTGAACTAACCCTTTAACTTCCTTGCTCCTTTGCAACATCTTCTCTGATTACCGTCCTTGGTGTGAACAGACCTTTACTGAGTGTACATTGAAACTAACTATGAATTTTTCATTATAATTTGAAACCAGAGGGATACTTTACCCAAAATTTAAAATGCTCTCATCATTTAGAGAATTAGTTAGCCAGAAGTGATGGTTTATAGTTTAAAATATTAATATTTTTCTCGCACACCTATTGTTTCGCTTTATCCTCTGGCTTTGTATGGGTTACCTTTCAGGATCATATTGTTTATGAAGCATTTATAAACTTTTGGGCAGCTATTCTCTTGCATTATATGGCCTCACAGAGATGGAAAGGTTTTTGTTTCTAACAATATTTGTTTATGTTCATCTAAAGAATGTACCTCATACATCTGGGGCGGTATGAGGTTGAGGAAATGATGGTCGGACCATCTTTTTAAAGACACCTAATGAGAATTTTCTTATAGTCCAGGTGATATGTGCACTTTTTCATAAAAGCATGAAACTTGGTACTCTTGTACAGTTTGGGGCCCTGAACATTTTCAGAAATGGAGCCATCGCAAAAACACCTCATGGTTGCTATGGCAGCCATTTTACTTTCCGCCATTACCAAATTATGTATTTTGTGTCATATCTTCTGAATCAAACATGATAACACAGAATAGGTGATGTCTACCCATATATTTTGGTGGTCAAGGATTACAATGATACCATATGCAACAACATAAACTGTTCGGGTGAATAGTTAATGGTGAAATCAGTGACGTGAGAAGGAAATCACGGTATCTGAGTAGCACAGCATCTACAATAGTCCATATTATGGTTATTTATTTTCTCTTTCTTTGATAATTGACTAATATTTTATTCAGTAATACAATATTGTTTTCAAGAATACAATTAAATATTTCAGAGACAAATTCCTCTCATGTAAATATATCTTTACTTATCTCTCAGGCAGAGTCAGGTAGGTGGTTGCGTGTAAATGTTGCTTAATACATTGTTTCTGTTTCTGTTGTTTAGATTTTTATTTGCTGTTAAGAATGGTTATTTCATTTACTATTTCTATTTTTCTTCTTTCATTATAATTTGTATTTTGATTGCACATATTTGTAATTAGAATAAAAGCCGGCGGCTAAAGCCGCGGTCACACTAGACTTTGAGCATGCAAAATTCTTTCGGACGCTGCAACGGTCGTGATATGACGTCATGCTCTGCAGCGTCTTTTTAAAAACTTATATTCAACACCTAAACAATAATAATACACCTAAAATGTAAAAACATACAATCTACTCCACTTTCCTGCAGCGCTGTAGTTTTACATTTATGTTCTTTTAATTCAGATAGGTCAGAAAGATGTTGGTCACACGGTATCAGGTGATGCGAATTCGCAGGCCAGAGTTCACCCAAAAAAAATTCAATTTTCTTTTTTTTTATGGAATCCTTTTTAATGGTTAAATTAAATTGTATTAATCAAAAAGCATGTCTAATTAATTAAAATCATGAAACTTAAACGGTTTAACATCAATTTATTAAAAGTTTAACTAAAATGACATGTTTAGGGTTCAAAAATGTTTTATTGTTTTCCAACCTTATGTTTTATTGTTACCAAATTCTGAACCAATAATACAGCACAAAATAATAATAATAAAGACAAACAAATGTCTATCTCTCCAATTGGAATTAAAAAGGTGACCTCTGCTCTGTAAACATCCATGTCAGTACTTATCTTTTGAAAATAACTAATGAAAATAGATCACAAAAGTATTTAGTGTTTTCAGTTTATACATTCTTAACATTTCTTTTGGACCTGAGGCAGAAAACAGGAAACATGGTGAAAAAATTTTTTTTTGTTGGTTTTTGACTTATGCATAATACTATAAAAGGGACAATGGATAACAATGTTAATAAGTATTATTAATATAGGACTATTGACTTTATTTATCCCACAGGGGAAACTATTAATAATGAGGGGAATAAACTGAACTATCATTGTAATCAACTGTCATCATACATATTCATTTTAATAATTTTTTATAATAATTCCTATGATTTTACATGTGGCCTGAAAAAATCATGTCTATTATTTTGGTTTGTGAGATCGGAGATTGCACATTCAAACATTCAGGAGGACACAAACTTGTTATGAACCCTGCCCCGAGACTTTTATTAATAAAATAGCTTAGATACGGAATTGTTACATATTCATCAGCAAGGAGAGGGTAAAATCACTGTTTAAGTAACTAAACTCACATGTTAGTGAGACGCGCTGACGCAGGTTCACTCACACACTATCTATCATGTGTTTCCAATGCATTTCTGTTTTTTCTCAACAATGCTCTAACGCAGACAGTAATGCAATCTTGCTAACCTTCGTCCTATTTACACCTCTTCTACTGCACCCATCTCTTTTTCCTGTGGGTCTCTGAAATTGTCAGTCAGCTGTCAACAATGACTTCATTCCAGCCATTGTTTCTCTGTCTACTATTAGTATCTCAGGCTTTAATGGGACCTGGCATAACCAGCTGGACATTAACCAATCAGGTTTCAGAAGCAGCCATTAAACTGAGACTGTGTTACTGTCGGTCACTGAAGCCCTGCAGATTGCGAAAAGCTGATTCCAGATCATGTGTTCTCATTCTGCTGGATCTGTCTGCCGCTTTTGACACTGTAAATCATCAGATACTCCTGTCCACCCTCTCATCACTGGGCATCACAAGAACTGCATTTCATTGGTTTGAATCCTATCTCACAGGTGGGTCTTTCAGGGTGGCCTGGGGAGGAGAGGTATCTAAAGCAAATCATCTGGTCACAGGGGTTCCTCAGGGATCAGTTCTTGGACCCCTCCTCTTCTCTGTATACACTACATCACTGGGATCCATCATACAAGTACATGGTTTCTCCTACCATTGCTATGCATATGACACACCGCTTTATCTTTCATTTCAACCAGACGATCCAACAGTAGTTGCACAGATCTCAGGCTGCCCTGGCGAACATCTCTGCATGGATGAAGGAAAATACCTGCAGCTCAACCTGGCAAAGACTGAGCTTCTCGTCTTCCCATGTTAGTGAGACGCGCTGACGCAGGTTCACTCACACACTTCTCTCGCTCTTGCTCTCTCTCTCTCTCTCGCTCTCTCGATCGAATAATTAAATCAAGTAGCTAAATGTTATAATTAATCAATTCAAATAAATGTGAGCTTACCACACTATTTCATCTGCCTGATCTGAAGTGGGCAGAATACTGAGCTAACCAGCCGTAGCTTCGCGTCAGTCTTGCCTTCACGTCGTGCATTAAAATAGTTTAAAGCCGTGTATTCGCTCTTTAGCAGCAGTTTTTACGGCAATATTTAAATGACACCCTGGTCATTCTTGGTGTACCCAAAATGGTTCCACACTATCGACTTCAGTCATTACTCTGGTGGAAATAAAGGACCGCACTTTGGTTCCTCTGTCATAGTTAATCTAGTGTGTGTAGTAGCCTCCGTGTCTCTGATAAGCACAGCATTTTAAGCTGGTGCACCGCTAGTGTAACTTTGTTTTCGTTTTGCGCAAGTTGCAACTGTTCCGTTCTGTGCAACAGAAACACTCGGTGTAGCGGAGCCTTTACGATTAATTAACCGTGACATTTTAAAGCGCGGTTAATTGTGAAACCGGTTAATTGCTGCATCCCTACTGGCGCTATAGAGTAAATAAAATTAAATAAAATTAATTTGACCTTCAAGGGGGGCGGGGGGTGCGAGCCGCCTCCCTAATATATTGTCAGGGGAAACACTGCACTCTCCTTACGCCTTCTTTTTCCCATCTATCATGTGTTTCCAATGCATTTCTGTTTTTTCTCAACAATGCTCTAACGCAGACAGTAATGCAATCTTGCTAACCTTCGTCCTATTTACACCTCTTCTACTGCACCCATCTCTTTTTCCTGTGGGTCTCTGAAATTGTCAGTCAGCTGTCAACAATGACTTCATTCCAGCCATTGTTTCTCTGTCTACTATTAGTATCTCAGGCTTTAATGGGACCTGGCATAACCAGCTGGACATTAACCAATCAGGTTTCAGAAGCAGCCATTAAACTGAGACTGTGTTACTGTCGGTCACTGAAGCCCTGCAGATTGCGAAAAGCTGATTCCAGATCATGTGTTCTCATTCTGCTGGATCTGTCTGCCGCTTTTGACACTGTAAATCATCAGATACTCCTGTCCACCCTCTCATCACTGGGCATCACAAGAACTGCATTTCATTGGTTTGAATCCTATCTCACAGGTGGGTCTTTCAGGGTGGCCTGGGGAGGAGAGGTATCTAAAGCAAATCATCTGGTCACAGGGGTTCCTCAGGGATCAGTTCTTGGACCCCTCCTCTTCTCTGTATACACTACATCACTGGGATCCATCATACAAGTACATGGTTTCTCCTACCATTGCTATGCATATGACACACCGCTTTATCTTTCATTTCAACCAGACGATCCAACAGTAGTTGCACAGATCTCAGGCTGCCCTGGCGAACATCTCTGCATGGATGAAGGAAAATACCTGCAGCTCAACCTGGCAAAGACTGAGCTTCTCGTCTTCCCTGCCACTCCAACTCTACAGCATGATTTCACCATCCAGCTAGGTTTATCAACAATTACCCAATCAAGTTCAGTCAAAAATCTTGGTGTAATATTTGATGATCAGCTGATGATCAGCTGCCCTTCAAGGACCATATTGCAAAAACTGATCGATCTTGCAGGTTTGCATTGCAAAACATCAGAAAGATCAAGCCATTCCTAATAGAGCATGCTGCTCAACTTCTTGTTCAGGCCCTTGTCATTTCTAGTCTGGACTACTGCAAAAATCTTGGTGTAATATTTGATGATCAGCTGATGATCAGATGATCAGCTGCCCTTCAAGGACCATATTGCAAAAACTGATCGATCTTGCAGGTTTGCATTGCAAAACATCAGAAAGATCAAGCCATTCCTAATAGAGCATGCTGCTCAACTTCTTGTTCAGGCCCTTGTCATTTCTAGTCTGGACTACTGCAATACTCTTTTGGCTGGACTTCCATCATGTACAATCAAACCTCTACAAATGATTCGGATTGCAGCAGCATGTCAGATCTTCAACAAGCCCAAAAGGGCTCACATCACACCTCTCTTTTTCTCCCTGCACTGGCTACCGGTTGCGGCTCGCATCAAGTTCAAGATATTGATGATTGTATAAAGAACGAACAGCTAGAGGCTCAGCACCCTCCTACTTCCACGCACTCTTACGAATCTACATCCCCTCCAGAAGCCTGAGATCTACAAGTGAGCAACGCCTCATGGTACCATCACAAAGAGGCACAAAATCACTTTCCAGAACATTTTCATTCATTGTTCCGGGCTGGAACAAATCCTTGATAATTTCAAGCGACAGCTGAAAAACTCATCTCTCTTTCGTCATCATTTGACTGCATCCTAATTTAATGAAAAGAACCTTCACTTTCATTAATCCCTCCCTGTTCTAGCTTTTAAAACTTTGTATTACGATCACTTCCTGTGTTTATTTGCCTCTTTATGATGAATCGCATGTTGTATTCCTCAATTGTAAGTCACTTTGGATAAAAGTGTCTGCTAAATTAATAAATATAGAGTCAGGCAGAGTGTTGACTGTTAGCAAGGTGACAGTAGAGTGACAGTTCATCAAGAAGGAAGGCTGCACTATAGAAAACCCAAGACGTGTCACTCGTATAGTTTTGAATGGGGGAAAAATGCAATGCTCAATATGGCTGCTCTATTGAGGGAAGCCCCACCTTCTGAGTAAAAGAGCCAATCGCTATTCGGTAAGGTCATTGCGTCACTGTAGCTGCCGTTAGAAGTCCAGGTTGGGTCTATCTTGAAAAAATACGCTTTTTTGACGCTATTTGAGCAAAAGAAACAACATTTATGAGACAAATGTTGTCAGATTTTATTGGTGATTTCAAATATGAAATGTAATCGTAAGCTTGGTGAACAGTTTTGGAGAATTTGATGTTTCCCAATTCAAAGAGCTAGGAGCTTCACTTGCATGCCTGAGAGGCATTTCAAAGATGGCCGCCGAGTGACATGACTTGGCTTAAAGGGACTTTGGATGTATCAACTGAAATAAATGCTTCCCCCTTGTGGACACTAACATAATAGGCAACTCTGTCCCCAGAGTGTGATTGTAAATTAAGTTTACAGGAAATATGCTTGATATTTCATTCTGCATCTTCTCAGATACTGCGATTTCATTGTAATTCTTATCACAACATCACTTAATTCACCATTAACTATTCACCTTAACAGTTTGTTGTTGTATATGATATCACTGTAATCCTTGACCATAAAAACATAGGGGTAGACATCACCTTTTCTGTGCTATCATGTTTGGTTCAGGAGGTATAATATAAAATACATAATTTGGTAATAGAGGAAAGTTAAATGGCTGCCATGGCAACCACGAGGCGTTTTTGCGATGGCTCCATTTCTAAAAATGTTCATGGCTGCAAACTGTACAAGTTTACCAAGTTTCATGCTTTTATGAAAAAGTGAACATTTTTTTTCACATATCACCTGGACTATTATAGGATTCCAACATAACATTAAAAAATAGATCTTAAAACACAGTTGCCAATAATACAGGATAGATGTCTAACGGCATCATAAGATACCTGCACAACACTAAAAGATTATTTAAAGTAAACCTTTAACATTTTTAAAACTCACATTGAAAAACAAGAAGTAGTGTTTTTGTAACCTTTACACATTCCTTTAGAAATGTATCACTTTGGACAATGGAGAAAAACATTTTAAACATTTGCCAATTGTTATGTTTATGTGCAGATTTTCGTTGCTGCTGCTGGATCTGGAGGAACATTATTTTGAACAGCACACTGCATATAATCTGACTGGAAGAGGTCCAGAGGCAAACAGGTGAGCTAAGTAACTGAATAACTGATCTTGAATAATTTATTTGGGAAATGCAATATGTTTTCAGAATATGACACTGAATTGCTTGGCTGTATGTTTGTCTAGTGATGAGGAGTCGACTCCAAAAAGGCTGATTCCTTGATTTTGAATAGCCCTTGTGCCAGAGTCAATTGTAAAACAGGAATCGATTCTTGTTGAATCTGTTGATGTGTCTGAAATCGTTTACTTGTTCACTCATTTACTGATCCCTATTCAGTGCATGGCAGTTAAGTGCACGATACCATCAAGGAGTGAACTAAATGAGACAACGTATTTGGACACATCCCACATCAGAGAGCCGGAGCTGTTGCAGAGCTAACTTTTTCACATATGTTTACCTACCAGGGCTCTACAGTGCGACCATTTCAGTCGCATTTGCGACTATGAAAAAACTTTTAGGAGCACCAGTGCGACTGACCCGATCATCATCATATTTGTGATTGTGATCGCTCAGGGGAGCTTCAAAGGTTTCTACGTGTTTTCTAAAATTTTGAACGTGCTCCTAAATTTTTTAAGTTAGGAGCACACGTGCTCCTAAAAAGAAAAGTTAGCGTAGAGCCCTGCCTACACTCGTGTTCACACTCCATAGTGTCACAGGTGTGCATCGACCAAAACACTGACACAACAAACAAGAGACTGAACGTGATTCATTGGCATCATGTTCATTTTTGAAACAATAAGAAATTGGGTGTATAGCAGGATGTGTTTTTATTGATGATTCCTTGAACCCTTATATGTGAAGGCATATTTCATAATTCATTGATTTCCCCCCCCCCCCCAGTTCCCACCTTAGTTAGTTTATAAGTTCAAACAAAAATGGAACTTCACGGAAGTTCTCTCCACGGAAAACAAAAGTGGATTGTCTGAGGTGTTTTTTTTTTCCATAGAAGACTTGACTTATTCTGATAGAAAGCATCATAGTATGTAGTATGATATAACTTTTATGGTACATTATAGATCTTCTGAACCCTTACAATAGTTCTGTGTTGAGAATACACAAAGCTGTTTCATTGTTTGCTGAAATTCTCCCCCTCCTCTGTATGAGTCAGAATTTGTCACTAAACAAATATAGTCTTTGATGACTTTTTAATAACTCTTTTTAATATCTCTTTTTATACACAGACGAACTAGTGGCTCGCTAAAAATCTGTTCCAAATCAATCATTTTTGAACCTGATGATGCTGTTAAGCCTATTTTAAAGGTATTATCTTCATATTATTTATCACCAAGCTTAGTTGCTGTTTTTCTTGTTCTACAATAAGAAAATTTATTTCTTGCAGATTCTTCTGAAAGACTGCAAAGGAATAGGAGCAGTGGAGGAAACGGGCCACAACCCATTTATAGAGTAATACTGATGATTAATGTTCACAAAAATAATTTGTTTTGTTTGATGTATTCGGGTTTAGTGCAATTTTGCATTGATATAGTTTTAATTCTTTTCTTTTTCAATTCCTTTTTATGTGTGTTTGCAGAAGTAAACCTGCCTGTATTCTTATAGAAACCAAGCAGGTGAGTGTGCCTCACAGTTCCTCTTAATTCTTTAATATCTGTAGTCTTGCACGTTTCAGGTTTTATAAAAAAAAATTTTCCTCAGATTTATCTAATTAAAGAAGAAAATGTGGTTGCTCCATATAAATATGAAAGGGTGAGTTCATTTTTTTCTGTCTCTGTCCAAGATAGATGAGAAGTGGGTGGGGAACAAATTAGGGCTGAACGATTTTGGAAAATAATCTAATTGCGATTTTTTTTTACCAATATTGCGATTGCGATTTAATATGCAATTATTTTTTAAAGCTCTTTATGAGCTATAAATTATTGTATAGTATGACCAACACACTATTAGATAGATTAAACATAAATGTTCTTTTCTGTAGGTCAGGCCTATATGTTACAATGAAATTAGGTGATGCATGAATTGATATGAATGACATTTTTATTTAACAACTACAATCACAGTATATTGACTGATTTGTTGAACTTCCAACCTTGTAAGCATGTAATAATTATGACAACATAAAGCACTGATAAATAAGGCTTGTGTAAACATTAATATGAAAGTCAGTAACAAATCACACAAACGAGGTCATCAAAGTACTGCGAGAGCTATAAGAGAGCGCGGACGATCGATCTTCAAGTGGAACACACCTCGTTACTCTGGCGTGTCACGTGACCGAGTGTAATCGCAGTCTCTGCGATTGAAAAATCGTGTTTTTTCATATCGCGATATTATCGCAAATGCAATTAATCGTTCAGCCCTAGAACAAATATGTACAACGTTGATATTTTCATCTGTTGTTTATTAGAGTTTCGGCAAATTTCAAGACATAATATTTATTCATTTTTTATTTATTGATTGATTGATGCATGTTAGGGAGAGAAAAAGGTCACATTCCAATTGGAGGTGCCTGGAAAAACAGAGGATGTTGTTCAGATGTTATTACAGGTTTGCCAACAGGTTTTCCTTTTTGTTGAGATTTCTGTTTTTCATTGGGTCTTTCATCTTGTTTAAGTAATTTGGCAATTTTTGCAGTTACACAGAGCATCCTGTCTGGATAAGCAGGGTGACCAGACAGCAATGGTCAGTAAAATTGAACAAATTTCCATTAATCATAATTTGCTTCCTTTTTGGAATATTTATGGGTGATCGGTGTTTGATCTGTTTTTCTGCTGAAGGTTGCAGCTATACTGCAGTCCAGGTTAGCAAGAACATGTTTTGATAAAAACAGGTAAGAACCAACAAGTATCATATTCATTCATTCATTCATTCATTCATTCGTTTATTCAGTTGTTGATGATCTCAGAGTTTCACACCGCATACAAAAGTAGTTCATAAGGAGTACATACACTACCATTCAAAAGTTTGGGATCAGTAAGAGAGTTATGTTGTTTTTTTGTTTTTTTTTAAAGCAAGAAAGCAAGAAAAATTAGTACTTTTATTCACAAGGATGCATTAATTTGATCAAAATACATCTATTTCAAATAAATGCTGTTTTTTTTTTTTTTTACTTTCTATTCAAAGCATTCTGCAGAAATGTAATAATAATAATACTGTGGCTCCAAGATGCTTCAAGAAACCTACCTGCAAAGCTACAGTACTGTTAAACGTTTTAGGCACTTGTGTAAAAATGCTGTAAAATGAGGATGCTGTCAAAAATAATGTCATGAATAGATTTTCTTTATCAATTAACTTCTATTATTTGGTTATTCTATCATTTGGTGTGACCAGCCTTTGTGTTTAAAGCTTTTGCCCTTGGTGCACTTGAGCATAGTTTTTCAGGTAGCTTTACAGGTAGGTTTCTTGAAGCATCTTGGAGACGTTGCCACAGTTCTTCTGGATTTAGTCCGTCTCAGTTTGTTCTGTTTCTTCATGTCATTCCAGACAGACTGGATGATGATCAGATCAGATCTCTGTGTGGAGCACTGGCTGCTGTCAGACTCCTTGTGCAAACAACAATCTCACTGGATTATTACAATTAATGGCAAAATGAATGTTTGGAAATGTTGTAGACTGATACTTCCTACTGACACACTACAGCAAAAGATAGAAATAACTGATTTAAAACCATTTTTTAGCTGGTGAAAATACTAGTGTTCTAATCATTTTGGCCACTACTGTAGAAAACAGTTCTTTTAAATTGTAGTAATATTATTTTTACCAAAATAAATGCAGCCTTGGTGAGCATAAACCCTTATGTACACTGCACGTGTCTGTGGCGCGTTACGGCTCCGATGTGGCCACAACCAAAATAAAAATTTAGAACGGTAGTATATGTCTTTCCAATATTATTAGGTTGCAGTATTCAGAGAGTTAACAGACCCCAAACCTCTGTTATTTCAGAACGGTGGTCTAGTAGAAAGATGGATTAATTATAATGTTTGTGTGTGCAGTTTTCAGCATGTAACAGAAAACCCACACATGGAGTGTGTGGCAGAAATGGTTTCTCCTTTGGTGACAAACGCTGGTCACGTTTGCATCACTGATTGCAATCTTTACTTCCAGCCTATGAACAGCTATCCTGTGAGTTTTTGTGCAAGCCATGCATTCTTTGGCACATATCTTTTTATCATCTGTGCAGTTCCTTCACTGCAGTTCTTATGTGTATTTCTGTATTTCTAAAAGGATTTAGTGGTGCAGATTGGGTTACATAGTGTAAGACGCATCTACAAACGGAGACATGGGTTGAGACCTTTGGTGAGTGTTTATTTGATGTTCTTCATTTATTTATTTGTTCTCTAGTTTTGTGTCTGTTATGGTATTTACACACAAAAACAACGATATAATTTGCAGAGATGCATTTATATGTGAATTTATGTGTATTTACTGTGTGTGTGTGTGTGTGTTTGTGTGTGTTAAGGGCCTTGAGGTGTTCTGCACAGAGAATGATCTGTGCTCGGATATCTACCTGATGTTCTACAGTACTAAAGAAAGAGATGAGCTTTACTACTACATTGCAACTTTCCTTGGTAGGCTTTATTTTTATGTGTGTGTATTAATCTAGGGTTCACTGGGAGGTCGTCACATGGGCTGTATTTCTGTAAATATAGGGGTGTTTAGCAGTGGTGTTGTTTATATATAAAATTAGACAATTATCATATTTTTGAAATAGTTGTTGGGTAAACGCAGTAGTGAACATAATAAAACCACATTTTAATCCAAAAAAATTTATTGTAATTTTATTAAAATAGTGGATTGATGTTTTTTGTTAACTTCCATTTTTGCTATTTCATGAATTCTGTTTTGTTTTACAAATCAGTGTCAGTAAACAGCAGAATTACCCACCATAGTCTTTTTTTTTTTTTTTGCTGAGAAATTTTAATTTTAATTTTTTAATAGCCAAAAAAAAAACCTATCTAAAATATTTGATCGAGTATAAAGTGTGACAGCCAGCCCTGTCAGTATTATCCTCAGTGTATAAAGGTTATATATAAAGGATAACCGTATTATCCTGTATATAAAGGTCTAACTTAGGCTGAATTTTTTTTAACATCATCATTTGAGCATTGGGTAGTAAAGCACCTTTATGGTTGAAACTCTGAGATGTATTTTGTAAATGTAGTTTGGTTGCATAAGCCTGTCACTTCAAACCAACCATTAGTGTTTTTTCAAAAACAAAATGTCAACAAACTAATGAGTACAGTCAACGTTCATTGACTTTAATTGACACACCCCCAACTCAGAAGGTTGGGAGTTAAATAAAATCCCCCTCTTAATTATGATATTGTAGTGGAATTCCTGTTATTTAACTTGTAAGTATGACTTGAACAGAGCATGAAGTTGGTCTCCAGGAGCAGAAGTTGGGACCTGTTCTACCAGACAGACCTAAAAATCATGTAAAACCAGCTAATAGCAACTACAGGTGCATCTCAATAAATTAGAATGTTGTGGAAAAGTTCATTTATTTCAGTAATTCAACTCAAATTGTGAAACTCGTGTATTAAATAAATTCAGTGCACACAGACTGAAGTAGTTTAAGTCTTTGGTTCTTTTAATTGTGATGATTTTGGCTCACATTTAACAAAAACCCACCAATTCACAATCTCAACCAATTAGAATATGGTGACATGCCAATCAGCTAATCAACTCAAAACACCTGCAAGGGTTTCCTGAGCCTTCAAAATGGTCTTTCAGTTTGGTTCACTAGGCTACACAATCATGGGGAAGACTGCTGATCTGACAGTTGTCCTGAAGACAATCATTGACACCCTTCACAAGGAGGGTAAGCCACAAACATTCATTGCCAAAGAAGCTGGCTGTTCACAGAGTGCTGTATCCAAGCATGTTAACAGAAAGTTGAGTGGAAGGAAAAAGTGTGGAAGGAAAAGATGCACAACCAACCGAGAGAAGCGCAGCCTTATGAGGATTGTCAAGCAAAATCGATTCAATAATTTGAGTGAACTTCACAAGGAATGGGCTGGGGTCAAGGCATCAAGAGCCGCCACACACAGACGTGTCAAGGAATTTGGCTGCAGTTGTCGTATTCCTCTTGTTAAGCCACTTCTGAACCACAGACAACGTCAGAGGCGTCTTACCTGGGCTAAGGAGAAGAAGAACTGGACTGTTGCCCAGTGGTCCAAAGTCCTCTTTTCAGATGAGAGCAAGTTTTGTATTTCATTTGGAAACCAAGGTCCTAGAGTCTGGAGGAAGGGTGGAGAAGCTCATAGCCCAAGTTGCTTGAAGTCCAGTGTTAAGTTAAGAGAATCTATGGGGTATTGTCAAGAGGACAAGAGACCAAAAAATGCAGATGAGCTGAAGGCCACTGTCAAAGAAACCTGGGCTTCCATACCACCTCAGCAGTGCCACAAACTGATCACCTCCATGCCACGCCGAATTGAGGCAGTAATTAAAGCAAAAGGAGCCCCTACCAAGTATTGAGTACATGTACAGTAAATGAACATACTTTCCAGAAGGCCAACAACTCACTAAAAATGTTTTTTTTTATTGGTATTAAAGACTTAAACTACTTCAGTCTGTGTGCATTGAATTTATTTAATACACGAGTTTCACAATTTGAGTTGAATTACTGAAATAAATGAACTTTTCCACGACATTCTAATTTATTGAGATGCACCTGTATGTTCCAAAAACCAGATCTTGGTTTTCCAGCAGGGTCTAGAACAAAATGAATTTGTAAGTATGTACATTCCAGTTTAAACGCATTGTATTTACTGAAGATCTGTGTGTATGTGATGTAGAAAACCATATAGCGGAGTGCACAGCGGAGAGCTACATGCTGCAGTGGCAGAGAGGTCACATCTCCAACTATCAGTACCTACTTCATCTAAACAATTTAGCAGACCGCAGTGTGAATGACCTATCCCAGTATCCAGTGTTCCCCTGGGTCATCAGTGACTACAGCAGCACACAGATGGGTCAGTCTCCCTCGAACACAGACACACACCTGAGAACACACATCACACACGCTCATGCTAAAAAATATCTCGTTTTCAGATTTGCTGAACCCTGCTTCATTTCGAGATCTCCGTAAACCAATTGGAGCTTTGAACACAGAGAGACTGGAGAGATTACTGGTGAGAAATCCAGTAATCACAGACAGCCTTTTTAATATTCAGAAGTTCCTTATCATATAAAAATCTCTTGTGTGTGCGTGCTACAGGAACGCTACAGAGACATGCCTGAGCCTCGTTTTATGTATGGCAGTCATTATTCATCACCTGGATATGTGCTTTTCTACCTTGTCAGAGTTGGTAAGGATTTGTTTCAGCTTTATGCTTCTGTAGCAGTATTCGGACAGAAGTAGTTTTTCGAAATTAAGTTTGAGTTTCATTTATTTAATGGATGACCTCTGTATACCGATTTAGATGGAACTGATACAAGAGATGAGGGCATCTATTGTCTATATTTGAGCATGTAAATTCAAGCTAATTTGTCAGTCCATCTTGATATACTGTTAATGTTGCCATGAATATAGCCATTGTTGCTGATATGGCATTAAAAACATAAATAAATATATAAACAATCCATCTCGATGGTTATGAGTGGAGTCCTGGAACATAAACAGGTGCGCTCTGGCCAGTGAAATGACGGTTTTACGTACATGTGACTTGCATAAACTTTGGTAGCTATGAAATGTTGCCTTGTGAAAGCAAAACGTAGGTGAAAACCACATTATAATAATTAATGTCCATGTTTCAGAACAAAGCATGCAATCTATAGATCTGAATATGCACTTAGTGATAGCTTTTGTATGCTGCAGTGTTTGCTGACTTGTCTTTTGCCTTCCTGCAGCTCCAGAGCACATGCTTTGTCTACAGAATGGACGATTTGATCAGGCAGACAGAATGTTCAACAGGTATTTGCACACACCAGCAAACAAACACACACATACTGAAAAAACATTTGCTTACATTAATGTGCATTTGTGTATGCAGTGTTGGTGAGACTTGGAAGAATTGTTTAGAGGGAGGCACAGATTTCAAAGAGGTGAGTTTTCCGAATTTAATGTCCTGCCTTTCTATCGTATTGCAAACCTGTTTTTTTTTTTTTTTTTTTTATAAATAATAAATAATTTAGTGTGGTCAAATTGACTATGTTGTGAACCAGTCCAATTGTAGGTCATGCAGTAAAGTACTTGGTGTGTTTGTATCTGTGTATTTACAGCTGATTCCTGAGTTCTATGGAAGTGATAGCAGCTTTCTGAAGAATCTGCTTGGTTTGAATCTGGGCAGGAGGCAGGGAGGAGGCAGAGTTGAAAATGTTGAACTTCCTTCTTGGGCATCAGGTGCTCATTCTTTCTTGTGTCCTTCTCACTTTTTTTCTATTTTTTTTTTTTTCAAGTTAAATTTAATTAAAAAAAAAAAGTTCACGTCCTCATCTTGTGCTTTAAACAACAGTGGAAGTTGTGAAAGTCGTTGGTTCAGCCTGTGTATTGGTCTGTATCAAAATTGTCAAGTCTGATTAATTTCCACAAATCAGTCGAAAAAATTAGCAAGGAATGGTTAAAAATAATTAAATAAAATTCACTAAAAAAGATGCGCATGTTTTTCATTTAATCTTATATTAATTTAAACTAGTGAAAAACATGCCTAATATATTGTTTATCTAGTATAGTATATTTGTAGTTCTTGCATTAACTCTAAAATAGTCACAAAAAAAAATATTTCTTTAAAATTATAGTCCTTCTGATTTGGAAAAGTGTTGGTATTGAGATATCTACAGAATATAATCTCATAGCTGAAAAGTAATAATATATAATCAAGATAATCATCCAGTGCTAAATGTGCTGAAATAGCAAATCATTGTTGTTCATGTCAATGTGTGTATCTGCTTTCTTTTAATGTAAATTAAAGGGGTCCTATTATGCTCTTTTACAAAGTCTTGATTTTGTTTTGGGGGTGTACTAGAACAGGCTCTCGTACTCGGTTGTTCGAAAAACACATTATTTTTCACATATTTTACATTATTACAACACCTCTCTCTCTGCTCAGTCTGGCATGAACGACTCGAATAGTTCCTGTATCAAATGAAAGCCCGCCTTCTGAAATACGAAATGTGCTGTGATTGGTTAGCTGGGCCAGTGTGTGTTGTGATTGGTTAGCTGGGCCAGTGTGTGTTGTGATTGGTTAGCTGGGCCAGTGTGTGTTGTGATTGGTTAGCTGGGCCAGTGTGTGCTGTGATTGGTTAGCTGGGCCAGTGTGTCTTGTGATTGGTTAGCTGGGCCAGTGTGTCTTGTGATTGGTTAGCTGGGCCAGTGTGTCTTGTGATTGGTTAGCTGGGCCAGTGTGTCTTGTGATTGGTTAGCTGGGCCAGTGTGTCTTGTGATTGGTTAGCTGGGCCAGTGTGTCTTGTGATTGGTTAGCTGGGCCAGTGTGTGCTGTGACTGGTTAGCTGGGCCAGTGTGTGCTGTGAGAATCGACGCTGGAATTGAGAGATCCCTTGTTGGGCTTGTTTGAAGCTCCAGTCTCTTTCATTCCCCATGGAGGGTCTGCCTTCCCACCAACACCCCATACTCTTCCACCGTGTCTAGACTGTCATTATAGTGTTCATCCTGTCAGGGTGTCAGAGGGAATAAGCCACTCACAGGTTTTCATGACAGATGAAACTGTTCTTGCAGCTTGCTCTGAGTGAAACAAACTTCAAGTCAAGAACAGACAAATAACACTGACAGGAAGTTGCTGGAAAAGTTTCTTGTTGAAAGACGATTATGAACAACCCTCTTTTTTATGATGTAAACACAACAGTTTGTCTCTTTTAAATGGGTCCTATTATGCTCTTTTACAAAGTCTTTATTTTGTTTTGGGGGTGTACTAGAACAGGCTCTCATACTAGGTTGTTTTTACACATTTTACACATCATACACATTATTTTTCACATATTTTACATTATTACAACACCTTTCTCCCCAGTCTGGCATGAACGGCTCGAATAGTTCCTGTATCAAATGAAAGCCCGCCTTCTAAAATACGAAATGTGCTGTGATTGGTTAGCTGGGCCAGTGTGTTTTGTGATTGGCACCACTCGGCGCCTGGTCAGGAAATGTCATGCCCCTTACCATAGCCGCCTGCTGCGAGCTTCAGTGTAAATGTTGCGTCAAAATCAAATCAATTTGAGCTCGATTTAAACACGGATGATTGTAACCACTCTAAGTTCGTCTGCCTTGGGAAAGCTCCGACATAGTTATAACACTCGTTGCCTTCTCTAGTGCAGCTCAACCAGGTCTCGTCCCATTCGTCGATATTTGTGATATCACAAATCCCGGAAAATATGCATTGTAGTCCAAACGAGTCGTTCGTTGTAGTTTTTGAAAAGTGATTTATGTTAAATAAAACATCTCCTTTTGAATTGGACTTTGAGCTTTATAACTTTGCAGATATTTTTTTATGATCAAACAGCAACATTACAGACTAACTAAAGGTGAAAAAGTGAAAAAGCATAATAGGACCCCTTTAAGCTCATTATAGAATGCATTTAATTCATTAAACCCAGCCATAGCTGCTTGCCGCAGTTAACCATGTCACTTTTTATATTGATCTTGGCAGCATCAAATGATAGAGAACACTGCTATATTTAGGAATGCGCTGTATAGTTGAGTGCGCTTTTGGCATTTAAAGAGTTGATTGAAGTGCCTGGATCCCAGCGGTGAAATGATGACCTGCATTATAGCAGTTTAAGTCAACTTGCTGCATCCTCTAACTCAGTGGTCCCCAATCCTGGTGCTGGAGAACCCCCAACACTGCACATTTTAGTCTTCCTTATTAAACGCACCTGATTCAACTCGGCTCATTTGTAAAGACTCCAGTTATATACCTCAAACTATTTTACAATTTTGGGATGAGTGAAACCCAGGTGCCATGTGCAAATAAACGCCACCCGTCCTGCTTCGGAGCTCTATGTATGAAATCACGTCTTATATTTTGTTCACATTTCTCTGTGTTGTGTACATATGCAGATCCAGATGACTTCTTGGAGAAAATGCGTTTAGCACTGGAGAGTCAGTATGTGTCTGAACACCTGCACGAGTGGATTGATCTGATTTTTGGCTACAAACAGAGGGGAAGTGAAGCTGTGGCTGCCCATAATGGTAAAATAGACAAACGCAGATTGGCATCAGTAAAATATTCAGTTATAAAACAGTGTTTTAAAGTATGAAGGATTAGTGTGTTATTGATATTATTTTATTATGAATAAAAACAATGGCGTTTACTATATTACAGTTTTCCATCCATTAACATATGAGGGAGGAGTTGACTGCGATAGGTAAACTTCATTAAATTAAAATATATCCCTAATTAAATAGCTCATACTGTACTTGACTGCCTGAATATCTTTTTGATCCAATTTGTATGTTATTTATATTTGTCAGTGTACATTTGTCAGTGTGTATGTCTGTGTTTCTGCAGTATTGAGGACCCAGATCAGAAAATAGCCATGCTAACTCAGATATTGGAGTTTGGACAAACGCCACGACAACTCTTTGTAACTCATCATCCTCAGAGGATCACTCCACGCTTCCACAACCTGTCAGCAACCCCCAGCCTCAGCAGCAGTGAGCTCTCACCATGTACGAGAGAATCACACATGTACTGCACTAATGGTGTTTGAGTTAGTTCAGTTTTCACTTTAAAGTATGTACTACCAGTGTGCACAGTAATTATGCTCCATTGCAATGGTTTTCAGCTGATATGACTTTGAGGCCCACATTTTCCTTTGGTCATTAGGTCACGACTCAAATTAAAAGCCAAGCAAATGTATTTCATAAAACATAAACAAATACTGTTAAGCCCTGTTATTGCCGCAATTAAGCAACATGATTCCATTCATTTTCAATGGAGAGCTGGTGATTTCCGGCGACACAAGCAACAGTGACCTTTGCCAACCGGATGTAGGTGTATCAAGTGATGCATCAAAGATAAGTTGTTTAACGTTAACCAAATAAGCAGCAATAAAGCGTAGTTTAAAGCTTTGTTGAGACATGTCTGATTGGAATCCGATCATATTTTTAAAAAATCGCATGAAATACAATTTTGTACAAATCCATTCATATGTTGTTTGAAATCCTATTCAAATCGCATTCCTGTAAATCCGTTCCAGTCTGACCAATTTCTTTGCACAAACAAGGTTCTGTTGTTGCTAATGCAAGTCAAACAGAAAATAATATACTGCTGGTCTACACCTCTTTGAGTTTTAAGACTTAAATCAGATTCCAATCGGAAACACAAATAATCAGATCTCAATAAGACCTAATCTATTCTTAAACTACTCACCACAAACAAATTTCCAGCTGTTCATCAGGGAAATAGCTTGAATGTAACTCTTCACCCTGACCACTTTTAGTATATGTGGAGCCATGAATATGCAAATTAAACTTTGAAAGTGTCATTTTCTTTGTAAATTGTGTCAATTTTTGATGCTAAAATCCTTCTAACAAAAGTGTTTTGTGTAGCATCTCCAAGTATGGAATCATTTGAGGACCTGACTGAGGAGAGTAAGAAAATGGCCTGGAGCAACATGAACAAACTTGCATTGCAGTCTCGCCACAAAATACACAAAGAGTGAGTATCTGTTAAGTAGCTTATCTTTGTAATTAAGTGTTTGAAAACAAAGATTAATATTGGATTTTTAAATGTACTTCTGACCCTTTTATTTTGATTCCGCAGAGCAGTAACAGGCGTTACTGTGACCCTCAGTGGGGATTCCATCTTCTCAACTTCTCAAGGTTAGGAATTCATCAGTTATTTAGTCTCATTAGTGCATGACAGATTCCTATAAAGTAGCTGAGTTTAATTCCTCAGAACTTAAATGATTAAATGATCACCTCTCACAGGAAGTATAAGTAAACATGTCCTTTATCGTTACGTAGACTCCACATTGAAGATGTTCTCGAAAGAAAATGGACTGCAAAGAAGTATGTCCTTCTCGAACATGGTAAGCTTTCTAGAGATTGTAGTAAACACAGTGGCCCCAAAAGGTATTTGAACTTAAGCCGCACTTTAAAAAAATCAGTCTATTTAATTGCATTAGACAATAAATTATACAATAGTGTTTTTTTTTCCCCCCCATCTGGGCCACTTTTCAAACCTGTACGTGAGGAATCTTTTTGTACTGTATGTCTATCTAACACCTGATTGAGATCATCAACTCTTTAAGAGAGAGCTCTATGAACTGAAGTATCTCAGGCTCTGTCCACATTAATATGGATCAATTTTCTCTTTTTCACTTTCATCCACTCTGAGATGGTGTTTTTGTCCAGCAAAAACGAGCTTTCTGAAGATGCTGTTTTTGTGTTACTCTGAAAAAAAAAGTTCGAAAATAATGACGCATGTTTAGGTTGTTTTATTCGCCAGCGAGTGGGAAGTGGAAAATTGAAAAAAAAAATGATGCATAAACTTTTGCTCTTATTGAAGTGTAACACATTTTTTAAGTGTGGCGTAAGTGTCCAAATATTTTTGGGGGGTCACCGTATACCACGGACAGGTTAGAATGAAATCGTATATTACCTCTAACTAAAACAAACATTTTTCTCAAATGACCCTTAAGGCACTGTCCTCCTGTCTGATGCTGCCTGATGATAAGATTGTTGTGTGCTCCTCCTGGGACAACAACGTGTAAGCATTTATATAGTAACCACAATCATACCCATACAAATATGTAATAAATTTAATACATTTCTAAATTTCTCTAATTTTTATCACTCTTCTGCCCCTTTTTTTCTGTTCACCTACTCTTCGATCTCTTTCTTGTTTCCTGTAGATATTTTTACTCAATAGCATATGGAAGAAGACAAGACACTTTGATGGGTCATGATGATGCAGTTAGTCATATTTGCTGGAGGGATGACAAACTTTACACAGCATCTTGGGATTCTACTGTGAAGGTATTCTAAATTAATCTAGCCAAGTTTGCTTTCTTGCAAAACATTTAGGGATGGATAAATCTTAGTTTTAACTCTATGAGCAGAGCTGAATGTACTGTACAGTTACCAAGGACACCTTGTTTACTTGGTACTAAATGTTTCAAATAAACCTTTTATTAAAGGGGTCATATGATGCTTTTTTTAAAGATCATTATTTGGTGTATTTGGTGTAACAGAATATGTTGACATGCTTTAATGTTCAAAAAACACATTCTTTTTCAAATACTGTACATTATTGTAGGTCCTCTATGCCCCGCCTCTCTCAAACGCTTAGTTTTCTACAAAGTCCCTCCTTCCGACAAGCGCAGTCTGCTCTGATTGGCCAGCTGACCCAGTGCATTGTGATTGGCCGAACACCGCAAGCACTCGTCGGAAATGTAACGCCCCTTACCATAATCGCGAGCTTCATCTTTCAAAATAAATGTAAAGACAGTAAATAATGTCATTAGTTTTACCATCAGTTCGAGCCCGAAAGGGGAACAGAGTCGCGTGACAGACACAGTGATGAAGCTGGTATGTGTTTGCAGTACACAAGCCACGGTTAAGACAGCTGACTCCACTGTGATGTGTCTCGCTCTCTCTCTCTCGCTCACTTGCACACACACACACACACGATGCGTAAAACTCCGCATTTGAACAGTCAATAGCAAATACTTAAACTAATAACAAAACATACTTACAGTAGCTGGTTCAGAAGCGCCAGATTGTCATAGCAAAGTCAGAATTACCTCCTCTCCTAGGTTCATGAAACGGTCGTCCATAAAATGCATTGCTGTTCTGTTGTAAGTAATCTTAATGCATCTACTTTCGGAAGGCCAAATAAAGTGGTTTTGCTTTCGCCTAGAAACACACAGCGTCTCCTTGACATGGCTGCTTCAACACTAACTGCGGTTACTGAAACCACGCCTTCTTTCTTTGCGTGAACATTTGGGTGCATTATGCTAATATTTCCACATAGTGAGGTAGATATGTGGGGGTGTGTTAGAACGAGCCGTTTTAGGGGGGCGTGGCAGAGTCTTAACTTTGATAAAGAATATCTCTTTGGTTTTGAGACTTTAGTCTTTGCAACTTCAGAGATCTTATCTATGCACAATCAGCTTGTAACACTCCAAAGAGAAAGGAAAACTTGAAATCGCATCATATGACCCCTTTAACATTTTTATTTCTGGTGAACTAGAAAAAAGAAAAGAAAAGAAAAATTGCTGATTTCAGTAGGATATTGACATGAAATTTAACTTATGAAATCTGTACTTAATTTTAGGCATTTTAAAAAAATTATAGTGGCATATTCTAACTAATTTATCTTTCCTTTTATATGGTTCAAATGATTAAACACATTTCAAAGCAAATAACAATTTTTATGTTAATCACTGTTTCAATTGACTTCCTACTTTCTCTGTTTTACTTCAACAGATTTGGAAATGTGTAGCAGATGACATCTCCAGTAATAAAAGGACTCAGTTTGACCTGCTTGCTGAATTTGAACATGAGGCCGGGGTTAGTGCTGAGGAATCTTTAAAAAAACTGCAATATAGGCAACTGTGTCAAACAGCTGATTATTCATTTTTGTCACTTTTCAGAGCTGAGGTGTAAAAGTTTAGTCTCTTTAGTTTTTCAAATTAAATGTTAAGTCTCATAAACCTACTATACACAGATATTCGTTTTTATGCCATGCTGTACGACAAATTGTAGCAGAGACATCTAAGCAGCGCTGTTGACGAAAGCCAGTCACATACCTGTCAATAAGCACGTACAAGAAGTAATTTTTAAGAATTGAACAAAGTGCCATTGAGTTTGAACAATGTTTGAAAAAAAATGGAATAGGAAGGAATCTATTATTAGATTTCTCTATATAACTTTATTCAAGCTACAAAAAGGCAAGTTTTTTACTGAAAAACGTGCAAACGAATAATCTTTGAGCCTATGGTGAAGTCATGTACATTAAATTACATCATACTTGCCCCAAATCATTGCATATTGCATTGCAGGATTGCATATTTTGCTTAAATAAAGCTATCACTCAGTAGTTATACTAGCTAGGTTGGACTAAATGTTGGTTAGTTATTGCTATACAATTGCCATAAATGTAACTAAAATGTAATTATTTGATTTATATTTACATTTAGTCATTTAGCAGACACTTTTATCCAAAGCGACTTACAAATGAGGACAATGGAAGCAATCAGAATCACCAAAAGAGCAATGATGTGCAAGTGTGATGTGAAGTACACATAGCAAGGTTTTTTTTTTTTATTATAATAATAAAAAGAAAACCGATAGAATAGAAAAAGGATAGAGCAAACTAGCGTTAGAGGCCTTTTTTGCTTTTGTTAATTGTATAATAAATAAAAAGAAAACATATAGAATACAAAAAGATTAGAGAAGCTAGTGTTCAGGTTTTTTTTTTTTTTTACAAAAACAACCAGTTAGTAAATGAATAGAGTGCAAGTCTAAAAGGGGCATTTTTTTTTAAAGAATAGAATTAGAATAGAAAATGCTAGAGTTAGAGGGTCAAATAAAGATGGAAGAGGTGTGTTTTTAGCGATTCTTGAAGATGGCTAAGGACTCAGCTGCTCTGATTGAGTATTATATTTCCTTACATTACAAGATATTGGGTAACAGAGTTAATTGGTTGAGCCTGACATATTCAGTATGTAAAAAGTTATTATTTGCTTGTCTTTCCACCATGTTATACAAAGTGTCTAAATGATTTCCATGCCACAATTTTGGGAGAGTTTAGTTTTTTAATAATGTAGGGTTGTACACAAAATTAAAATAAGAGATAAATTATTATATTTTAATCACTTATAAAATAATAATTGTAATAAGTCATAAATATAAAATGTGGCATATATAATAGTTCTCTCACTAAAGAACATGCAAAAGTTGTTCAATTGTACATTTATGAGTGCACTGATTCTAGTTGTGCCCTAATGAAGAAAAGTGCCTTTATATTATTTTGTCCAAAATTTAACATTTATGTAATTTATATATTGTATATACATATTTACAGGTTAATACTTTAGATCTCAGCCCAGCTGGCACACTTTTGGCAACGGGTACTAAAGAAGGAACACTTACTCTTTGGGACATTGCCAACCCTCTCCCACTAAATCAACTGACCTGCCATTCTGGAAAGATTCATCAGGTGGCCTTCAGTCCTGGTGAGTGTGTGTAATGCATATTTATGTAAGAAAATTGATCAAGATCTCTGACTTTTGTTGTTTTTGTTTTTTTGAGGGGTAATTTTGTATCATTTTGTTTCTGTGTTCAGACAGCAGACATGTACTGAGTGTTGGGGAGGACTCGTGTTTGGTGGTTACAGATGTGCAGACAGGCATGCTCCTCGCTACTGTACATGCAGAGCAAGAGCAGAGGTGAACAGAACACACACTATATATATATATATATTGCACAGTGTTTCATGTTAAGGAGCTATTATATCAACATGCACAGCTTCCTATGTTTTCTAAGCCAAAGATCACTTTCCTCCTTTTAGGTGTTTCTGCTGGGATGGTAACACTGTGTTGTCTGGAGGGATGTCAGGAGATCTCAGTGTATGGGACCTCCTTAGCAGTAAAGTCATCCACAAGATACCTGCTCACTCAGGTAAACACACTCCAGTGAGTCTGACCAGGGGTGCGTTTCCCAAAAGCATCGATATTCGACTATGGTAGCAATTTCTGTTGAACACTGTTGAGTTGCTTTTGGGAAATGCCCCTTTGGTCTGACCAACTGTCATTGTCACTCATGTTGGTGTGAACAAGGCTTAAGTCTGCATCCTAACTGAAATGGAGTGACTTTAGTCATTTTAAAGGGATAGTTCACCCAAAAATGAAAATTCTGTCATTAATTACTCACCCTCATGTTGTTCCAAACCTGTAAGACCTTCGTTCATCTTCGGAACACACATTAAGATATTTTTGATGGAATCTGAGAGCTCTCTGTCCCTCCATAGACAGCAAGGATATTACGAGGATATTATCGGTAAAATAGTCCATGTGACATCAGGGGTTCAACCGTAATTTTATGAAGCTACTAGAATACTTTTTGTGCGCAAAGAAAACAATAATAACATAATTTATTCAGCAACGTAATCACTTTATCGTGCACTTTATCCTGAACATAAACAGCGTTGATTACGTTATACATTATTTTCTTTGCGCACAAAAAGTATTCTCGTAGCTTCGTAAAATTATGGTTGAACTCCTGATGTCACATGGATTATTTTACCAATGTCCTTGCTACGTTTCTGTGTGTTGATCGTGGTAATATCCTTGCTGTCTATGGAGGGTTAGAGAGCTCTCAGATTCCATCAAAATATATTAATTTGTGTTCCGAAGATGAACTTACGGGTTTGGAATGACATGAGGGTGAGTAATTAATGACAGAATTTTCATTTTTGGGTGAACTATCCCTTTAAATGCTCTGTATAGGCAGAAACTCACACACCCACACTTCATGTGAGATGTACAAGATTTTTTACTTCAAACAAATTCCAGTTGTTGGACATTAGTTTATTGCTAAGCAAACAATGCGATACTCTGAATAAAAATACATAAACATAAATATTCTACTTACTAAATATTGTATGTACATTTTAATTACACTGGGCTAGTTTTATCTTCTTTTTTTTTAAATATTGAAATCTCTCTCTTAATTGTCTGCCATTTTGGATAGCTTGGGGAAAGTGGGATTTTCTTTCTGTATTAAGGATAGTGGCTTAGAATTTAGTCAAAATGCATAATATTTTTGTTTAGTCAATTTTGTTAGTCAATTTTTGACATTTTAGTATATGTAGCACTCTTTGTAGGTAACATTCCAGATTTTGGAACAGCGCTTCGTATTAACCTGACTGTGTATCTTTAATGCAGGTGCAGTCACGTGTATGTGGATGAATGAACAATGCAGTACTATCATCACAGGTGGTGTGGACAAACAGATCATTCTTTGGAAACCGGAGTATTAACAGTAATACTTCAATAATGTTCGATAAAACAATTCAGCCATTTTTCAGACCGTTCGGACCAAGGTCCATTTTCACCATTTGATTTCATGGGACAATTTGAACAGTACAATCCTCTAAAATAGAAATCTTGACAATGTGTTTGATATATTTGGTCAAAGTTTTATGATAAAGTTGGTTAGACAGATTGCAGGGTTTTAAAAACTGTAAGCACCGTGTAGTTTTACATTATTATTTAGCGTTTTTTTGTTTTGTTTTTTGTTTTGTTTTTTAAGATCTGAAAGCTAGCTCTGTTTGGTAACTGGAATGTTACCAAAAGATATGGATGTCCTATTTGGCTCAGTGATTTTTTTCTTTTCTTTTAATATTATACATGTATAACATTTGGCATGTCAAATCTCTTTCAAAACATGCATAAAAACAGCAACAATTCATATGATTTATAAAAGACAATCAGTTATTATGATTGTCATTATTATTATTATTGCTTTTGATAAATGTAACCGCCAAATCATACTTATTAAAAATCATAATACATCATGCTTGCAAATTTTACAAAATTCTGAGATCAACTCTTGACACCTTTATTATAGGTGACTGAGGAATGTTCAGAAGTATTAAGTAGTTATATATAGTATATGTTTGATGTACTGAAGGTTTGCTGCAGTCTTTTTGAGCGATAAATATTTGATGGGGCTCTTTTTTTTTTATGTGCCTTAGTTTTTAATGGTTTGAACTTGAGCGTTACTTTTAATGCCCACTCTTTAAATATGCTTGCATCTTCAGCTAAAATATATACATAAAAGTGATTACATATAAATTATGTTTGACAATATATTTAAGTGAAAGTTAGAGTAAAACATTCTGCAATATAATAAACTATAGCGTTACGTCTTAACAGGTTATGGATGCATACAAATTTTATATTTCATACACTTATTTATGTTACAACGCCTTGAAAAAATTCTCTTCAGTGAAGAACAAAAAAAAATATAGAAATTAAATCAGTATCACAAGATTATGCAATATTATGTAAACCCTCAATGAGCTCACAAGTTATTAAAGGGATAGTTCTGTCAAAAATGTAAACTGTCATCCCCCATGTTTTTCCAAACATGTATAACTTTCTTTATGCTTTGGAGCACAAATGAAGATATTTTGGTAAAATCTTAACTTTTTTTTCTACATACTGTACAAAGAAATTAAATGGGGTCAAATGTTCTTTGGCTCCAGTGTTGTAGAAAATATCTTCTTTTGTGTTCTGTGAAGAAAGAAATGAAGAAATGCATGTGGAACCACAAGAGGGTGAGTAAATTATAACAGAATTTTCATTTTTGGGTGAATAATTCTTTTAACTACAAAAAGTGGCATTTTATGTGTGGACTACATGTTTTAGTATATTAGGTTTATGTATTGGACTCATTTTCTGTTCTGTATGTTTTGGGTTTTAATGTTTTTTTTTTTTTCACTATGTAATGTATTGCCTCTTGGGAGAAAACTCCTGGAATTCCAAAATGTCTTTACAAATGCACAAATGTTGTTTGTTTGTTTGTTTCTCTGTTTATGTTATACTGGACAGTTATTTCTTTTAAAAGCTTTCTTCTTTGTTTTTTGTAATAAATAGTAACATGACTAAATACACAGATGCAGATTAAAACTATCATTACTCTGATTATATTTTTGCATTGTTTAAAACGCTCCTTTGGTGTGTTAATTTATATAGCACTATGAAGCTTTTACAATGAATTAGACACTCTTCTTCGTAAAACTGCTTTAGTTCAGACACATTGGAGGGTTTTTGAGCATGAACTGCCCATTTTAGTTCCAGAATCTCAGTTGGGTTCAAGACTTTGACCATGCCACTCCTAAACCCTAATGGTTTGAGCCATTCAGAGGTTGACTTACTCATATGGAGTTTGCATGTTCTCCCTGTGTCTGCGTGGGTTTATGCCGGGTGCTCCGGTTTCCTCCCACAGCCCAAAGACATTCAGGTTAGGTTAATTGAACATTCTAAATTGTCCCCGGACGTGTGTGTGTAAAGACCAGACTTGTGTATGGATTATCTGGTTCTCGCCATGAATATAGCCATAGATGCTGGATTGGCGTTAAGAAAGAAATAAACAAACTTACTCATATGCTTTGAATCATTGTCTTGCCACTTAATCTTGTTGCACTTGAACTTGGAGTCCAAGAGATTTTAAAATAGTTAATTTTCACACAGGGCTAGTTTAGAAATCTTTTTTTTTTTTTTACGTAGGTTTTTTCACATCAGTAAGGATCAAATATGCGTGAGAAACCTATTAGTATGTACATAAGCCATAGACACTGCATTTCAAATAAGGTTTCTTTCAGTGTTCCAGTAATTCAATCACTCTTTAAACTGAGATCAATGTGAAGGCATCTAATGTACTCTACTTTTCAAAATTAAGACAAAAAGTATATAGACACCAGTGTTAATGGTGAATAACCGCTTTGGTATTCTTGTGTGAACTTGACCTTAATTATTTTGAATGGAGGTAAAAATGTTTGATTGACTAGTCAACCCGCCTTAGTCACTTTATTCCAATAATATAACAACTGAACAATTGGCAGGGGAAAGGAAAGGAAGGGTCAAGTGCAGGGGTCAACAAACTTGAGCGTGGAGGGCCGGTGTCCTGACATTTACCCTGCGTCCCAATGTGCATACTATCCACCCTATCTGCCCTAAATAGTATTGAAAATTGCTAATATCACATAGAATTTAGGATGGATAGTATGCACATTGGGCTTAGCTCCAACTTGCCTCAACACACCTGCCTGGAAGTTTCAAGTATACCTAGTAAGATGCTGATTAGCTGGTTCAGGTGTGTTTAATTAGGGTTGGAGCTAAACTCTGCAGGACACCGGCCCTCCAGGACCGAGTCTGGTGTCCCCTGGTCAAGTGGTTAACACATTTAAAAAATGTGACTGGTCCTTCTCCACACCTGCTATATGAGGTTTATATTTGTCCAGAGGTCAAACAGAACAGTAAGTTACATAACTGACAAGTAGTGATGTGATTGTTTTTCCACTGTGCTTGCCAATGCATTAGATAAATGTCAGTATTTGCAATTAATTCAGTTCATTCCCACAATGCAGATTAAAATGATAGATTATAGATTTGATAATCTGTAATAATCTGGTACCCTGACTGAACCTGGTTTCTCCCAAGATTTTTTTTTCTCCTGATGGAGTTTGGGCATGTTTTATCTTGCTCAGTTAGGATCTAATACAGTTTCAGCAATTTATTGATATGACCACACTGACTGGCACTATCAAATGAGAACAAAATTTTAACTGAATTAATCTGGATGATGACACTCGTCAGAGCTTCATATAGCTTCATAGCTGAAATGCATCTTGCAACATTGACACAGGCATTGAACTGAATTGATCATTGAACTGACCTGAGCTGAATAATGAATTTGCCCTTTGTAGAACTGCCTGTAGCTAAATGAAACTCATTTCAAATTGATTAATTTCACCCTGTTTTGATCTGACCTGAATGATCACTGAATTGACAATAACACAGTATTGTCTTTTAGAGCTGCACTACAGGTGCTTTACAGATGTATCCAGTTGAGTTTCAATAATTGATTCTGCTACTTTCCTGATACTTTTTACTTTCCTGATTCTGAAACTTTTTATCCCTGTGATACTGATTTGATGCAATCTATATTGTATGAAGTGCTATAGAAAGAAAGGTGACTTGCATACTATAATGACCTCAGGACAAAACCGGTGGAGTCTCTCAGCAGGACAAAAACCAGTACAGTCAGCATCCGGAAAATGACTGCAATACTGTAGTGTGCTGGAGAGCAGGGACAAGATTAGACAAGACTTTGGCATAACAAGACTTGCGCCTAAAAATGAGTATATATGAGTATACTTACACAATCAAACTTAAATAATTTAAGTACATTGTAATTAAACTGTTTAAGTAGATTTCAAATCCGGGCTGACAGTGTCACACCTGGAGTGTGTTCTCCATAATGTCAGCTAGTGAACTTATGAAAGAGAAACACAAATGTTTATCATTAACAGCTATGGACATGTTCAAATAACATTTCACACATTCTTCAAACCTTCTAAGTATAAGTAGCTAAAGTAAAAAGTGTAACTACACCAATGTGTTTTCTCTAGCTGTTTTAATTTTTACGTTTTCTAACGTTAAGACCTAATTGAAACCCCTCTTAAATTATTATATTTTTGTGGAAGTCATGTCACTATAATCTAAAATTTCACTCTAAGCTTATTATTATTATTATTATTATTATAGTATTAGTATTTTAACTGTACTAGCTGTAAACAAACTAACACAATAACTACACTAGCATACATTCGTGGTGAACATGGTCAGTTTGGAGCTGGTTGGGAATGTTAAAGTGTTTTGTGGCCAAGACTTTAAGCTTTCTTTCTGTATTGATATCGATAGATAAAAATAAACCTATGAAATATTCATTAAAAGGTGACACTTGCTTAAGTTTCCATAGCTTTGTGATATTTTGCTATTTAAAGAATGACATTCAGATGTCTGTAACTGCAGCTGCTGTCCTCCCAGTGTGAGTTATCTCCTATCAAAGCCACACTCTTACTTTGTGGGTCTGTGTGTGTGTGTGTGTCTGCGCGCTGTGATTTGGTGACAAAACTGTTGCACGGAGGGTGTGGAAGGGCGCACTCAATAACAAACCAAAGCACCGGCGACGGAAGATTACGTGTCGCAATTAGCGCCCACTGTCCCTGTAACGTAGTTACTGTAGGTCATTCGGATGCCCGTAGCAGCTGGAGATGATGGAGATGGAACAGATGGAGGGGATATTTGTGGTATTTTAAGACCACAAAACTGAAAGTCCTTGTCCTGTTCGGAAGAAATTACTGCAGTGGTGTGTCCTGCTCTTGAAGGTGCACCGAGAGGAACATGGCTTCTCCAACATCATCGTACGGAGTAGACCTCCGGTCTCCAACAGCACACGACCAGCCTTCAAAGGTAGAGGACATGCAAATTGTATTGCCTTTACAAATGCTTTACATATACAAATGCAATACGTTCTGTAATGGCTGTTACAGAATGTGGATTTTGTGCATTTTGAGTGTGAATATATTTTGGCGCTGAAGTTTAACTCGATTCAGCATTCAGTTTGTTGACCCAACAAATGCCAATTTAATTATTTAAATAATGACACCCACCTGTCCTGGGACGTTTATGGCACATCGAAGTAATACTGTACATAAAGAGAGCAATGACATGACAATTACTATTAGAGGTGTGTAATGTTCCCATTATAAACAATTGCAAACATTACTACAAACATGTCAATTTTTTTATAGGTAAACCCAACATCAGTGCAGCTTTTCATGATGGACAACTGCCATTGGTCGTTGGTCAAATTGGGATAGCAGGACAATGTGCATTTTCTAAAAAGGTGTATTTTTTTATGAAAATGCCAATGTCAAAATTTATTGAATTAATATTAAAGAACTATAATTATATATACAAGTAAAACATCCAGTTGAGTTGCAGTACTAATAGGAATGGACGAGGAGTTGCACAAAATACAAAAAAAAATCCTGAATGGGTCTAATAGCTAAATGTCTAAAAGGTTTTAGTTTCTTTATGCAAAATATATTCTCATTGCCTCTTTGATTTGGGGTTGAAATATGATCCAGACTGTTCTTCATTTGATTCTCTCTAAATTCTTGTTTTTCTGCAGAATTATATGGTAGTAGTAGTTGGTGGAAACAATATTTAATGGGTGATAAATCTTTAATGCTGAACATTATTATGTTCTTTTTTTTTTGCCCTTTTTTAGTAGATTACAGGTTCCTAATCTCTTAGTGCTCTAATTTCAGAATTTAAGAAATATTGAGTGATGCACATGCCTCTGCAATTTGGAGATGGATGTGTTTTAGGTGTCAAGTTGGATGTTGTTTGTGTCTTTTGTTTAAAGGGTTAAATCTGTGCTGATCTGTGAGTCATGTGGGTTTCAGCAGGTGATGGCACAGTCATTCAAGTCTCCAAAGGAGGAGCCTGTGCTCAGCTCCATGGTGGCAGATTGTTTGGCAGGGCTGTCTGTCATAGGCACTGGTACACACACAAACACACAAACAAACAAAGTGATGGCACATGAATATTCATAGATATATAAGATGTTTAAAAGCTCTACATTGAAAATATCTATTTATATATTATTTTCTCCATTTAAATTGGTTTAAGTAGCTTTGAGTGTGTGTACACTTTTTTTCCACCATCTTTTTCTGTCATCATTTTATCATCCACATGTGTTTCCCTTTTTTTTTTTTTTCTTTTAGGCAGAATGTTTAAGCTGCACTTTTGCCGTACAGTGAAAGTGAATTGGGACAGGGTCTTGTCTAGCCACCATCATGTGTATTCAGTTTCTAGTCTATGGTCAATGTGGCTTAATAAGACAGTGATTTTACAAGATCAAATTCATTATATACACCTTATTGATTATGCATATTATATACAGGCAAGCAGATGAGCCCAGAAAATGAACGTACTGCTTTAATGCATTAAGCAATATTAAACATTTTCTTTATAATGGTTTTCTAATGGAAAAATTTTAATGTGCAATTTAGCAATAAGGTGTATACTGAATTTGGTCTTATAACTGTCTTAGT